AGGGTTAGTAGGGAAGACTTAATAGAAAACTCAGTGAGGGGTGGGGGAATGAATGTCAACAAATTTCACTAGTTTTACCAAATAAAGTTGTGGACTCCCGAATTGGAGACTCTACAACATATATATCATTTTCTTAAACATATCACATATCAAACTGAAACAATTTTTTCTGCTCCTAACTTCCAATTAACACAACATCATACACAAGTTTAATGATTATGCTATTGACGTGAGGGTTCAAAAAGACGAAATTATCTTTCTTTATTTGTCAACTTTATTCAATTTTTTGTGTTTATGTTTTACGGCGGAGAAACCCTAGTCCTTCAAGGTAATTTCATCAACTAGTTGCATCATGTCATCAATGAATCGAATAAATCACCGAAATCCGATTAATCCAATTGACCTTCAAAATGTCATCTATGGAGCATCGATTATTCTATTGTTGGAAAAAACTTCAATTTTCCAAAATGATACGAGAACGTCACATCAAAATCGGTGAAACCCAAACACCTTTATGGGAAAACGTGAAGCTCACACCATCCTCACACGTGGAGGCTGTTAAATAACTTAAACTGACTTATTCATGATCTATGAAACTTCATCTCCTACTATTTATTAATACTTCTATTTTCATGCCTCTGACAAAAATTTATATATTTACTTTTATATGAGAAAACAAGTTGCTCATCGATGCATTTGCCAATTTATAGATTTATGTAAGGAACTTTTCCCCAACCACATAACAATAAATTGGGAGTATGCTTGTAACAACCTGATCCATGGTTATTCAATGGACATCTCATGTAGAGTCCTAATATTTCTTTAAAATGATATGCCAATTTAAAATTGGGATGACATGAAAAAAACCCTAAATTAGAAAATTATACTCCGACTGATGTTATCCCTCCATAGTAAGAGCTTTCTCAGTTTGGCAGCGTGATAGCCACTATGGAGGGGTCAGCGAGGAAGAAACTCAGAAACGTATTTTTTAATTGTTCTCTGTCTTTCTAGTGGTAAAACAGTCGATGGTTACTCCAAAGATCCTCCCAAACAATTTTCAAATCTTAAGGATAGGGGAGAGAGAGGATGCCAGCGTAAGGTGGGTCATACCCACAAATTGTTTATCTACGAGCTTGAGAATTCTCCCCTACGGAGATAGAAACTCGTGTTCACATTTCTTCTACGGTTTCTTTGCGTCCATATAGACTAGGTTTTGACTTAGTAGTTAGATCTATCTTCACTTACTTTGTACCATGTAAATTGTTGGAGATTACATGTATATGCCTTCAATCATGGAGTTTGAATGACTTAATATGGAGTTAGTCATGGTTTAAGATGATAAAGAGTTTGACTAACTATATGTTAACCTTGTGATGATATTAGGAGCGATGTAGAGATAAATTGAGTGGTGTAATCAGGTTCAATGTGGAAAACTATCTGGAAAGAGAGTTCGAGTATAAATAATGGTTATTGTTTTCCATGTTTATTTATGTGTGTATTATCATTGTCTATATAGTGAAACTTGTATAATTTCATGGTAGGGGAATTGTAGGGGCTGAATATGAAGTGATGAACTATTGACTATCTCATACAATGATGGTACTTTGTTTACTCATGTTTTATAATTGTGTTTGTATTTCGTCGTGATTGTTGTTTTCTTGGTGAGATTAATAGTTGTCTCGTGTACCACTCTTGGTACAAAATATTCATAGGGTAGGCATGGGTACCGTGCGTGGTATGTCGTAACAGTTGGATCGAGTACCATGCGGGTCAAAATAACAAGTGGTTTTCTTGGGTAGCATGCCTTGTACATTTTTTATCAACCTTTTGTATGTGTGGTTTCATGAGAGAACTAGGTTTACTACTTCGTAATAAAATTGTTACATATTTCTCCATGAGTGAAAGTGATTTGTATTTAAATATTGGGAAGGTTCCTGGTTAGACAGGAATTACATGTTAAACACTATAGGTGATGTCTTAGAGATTCTTGATGGTATGTGTTACTTGAAAGACGTGATGAATCAACTATTTCTTGTTGTGGCATCGTTGATCCTGTATTTGTCAATGTTAAATCCATGTGGTAACTATGAATTCAACTTTTTAACAAAGATTGTACTGTATTGTTAGCCTTTGTGGGTTGGGACATAATTTACATGAAGTATTGAATTAATGTTGTCTAGTAAGAGTCTTGTAGTAGGTTTACTGAATTGATCAAGGGTCAAGCTGCTTTCATTAAATTTTAGGACCACTCCTGTTTAGATCGGAATTACATGTTAAACATCGTAGATGATGTCTTAGAAATTCTTGGTGGTATGAGTTACTTGAAAGATGTGATGAGTCTGGTGGTTGGAGCTGTGTTGTATCTCTCCGTAGTATTTTACTCTTTATAACCTCATGTAATTGTTTAGATCAGTTCCTTGTGAGAGTTTAGTGTATTCCTTAAGAAAAATACTTTATTTAATCAAGTTGGGGGGTCATTTTTTATTTACGATAAGGTGATTAGTTTATATTTTTTTTACTTCTGCATCGTATATTTTAAATTGCGTGTAAGATTTCTTCTATGTAGGTATTACAATAGGTGCTAGCACGGCCTGATGGGTTAGGTCTTGGCAATGCTCCTATATTTTAGAGTTCTGTAAACTTGATAGATGGGTTGCTGGTGTTCCTAATTCTATTTATATATATTTTTTCATTGTAGATTAGAAGATCTAATGGAGCGGTACGATGTTTGGAATGTGTTAATATAACATGATATTTCCATTTGTTCACGAGTTGGAAACAAGTTTAATTGAGAGTGTGATCAGTTGAGTTTATAGGGTTATGAGGTAGTGATGTGCATGAGTATCGAGTTTATACTTCCTTTGAAGTTTGCAATATGCCCTTAAGAAGAATTAAGTTGTATGATTAGTTTCCCTTCATTGAAGCAAAGGTAAGAGTGAAGCAGGAAGGAATTTTGAGACAAACAATTAAAAAAATAGATTGAAGGTATGCATCATGTATTATTTAAGTTGGACAAATTTGAGTTGTGTCTACTGAAACAGTTAAGAGAGGTGGATTTCATAAAAAAAGAAGGGGTGATCTCATTGTACATTTTTTTTTCATTATTTTATATAAGACACTTTTCACCAACCCTATAGCCGTATATAGGAAGTTTGCTCCTCTATTGCTTAAGATTTTTAAGGTTCTAAGAGGGATTGTGGATGTTGATGATACTTTTAATATATCTTGCCGAAGTTATTTAGCGGAAATGATGAAGTGGTAGGTCCATGATGTTAAGTGCGTGTTAAGATTGCAGGATGTTTTCCCTTTTAGTTGTGAGTTGTAACAAGACTATCACATGCTTTAGTATTGAGTGAGCAATCAACAGAGTTTATGCAATTAGCAGATAGCGAAGTGCGTGAGTTTATTAATTTTATGCATCCGGTAATATGTGCAATACAGAATCAAGAAGCATTTGTCAGACCAATAAGTTTTTCTTCCTTGATGCATGATGGAGCAGGAAAATGAAAGATTTGATATTGAGGGCGTTCATCATGTTTTTTTTTACTTGCTAGAAAGAATTGGAGTCGTGTCTAAAGAGACTGAAAAGCCAGTCGGGTTCGGTGAACAAAGAAAGAGGTGAGTCGATTGTACATTGTTGGTCCTTGTATCTTTTAATTATAAAAGAGTTAGAAAGGATTTCAAATTTGTATAGATAATAGACTGAATTGCTTTGGTCCTTATAATTAATAATAGTAGGTAAAAATAGCTAGTAACTATCTTTGAAACCATAAAAATAACCTTTGATTTAATTTCTAAGTGTCTATCCTTTTAAACTTTCGTCAAAGTCTCCAGAAACATTGCCTGCCATAAAAAAAAAATTCACCAATTTCTCTTCAAGCTCAACATTCTTGCATCCTTTCATCTTTAAGAGCTTTAACTTTGAAAATTCTATTTAACAATTCTCAAATTATTCCTTTGTCACAACTTTATAATACCTTTCTCATTCCATTGCATAATGACTAAACTGCATAATTTTAATTATTATTAATTACTTGATAAATAATTAACAATTGCTATTTTTTAAAGTATATAAAAGATTCAAATTATTACACTTACATCGATAAAGGATCTTTCAATATTGTATAGAACTGTCCCAAAATTGAAACTCTTTATCAATGTAAGTATATTAATTTGAAAATTTTAAATGTTTTAATTTCTTTAGCTATTGTTTATTATTTTTCAAGTAATTAATAATCAATTAAAATTATGCAGTTTAGTGATTATGTAAAGGAAGCAGGAAACTATTAGAACTTTCGGGCAAAGGAACAATTTGAGAATTGCCAAATAAAATTTTAAAAGCAAAAGCCCTTAAAGGTGAAAAAAATACAAGAAACTTGAGCTTGATGAGAAATTAGTAATTTTTGTTGTTGGGGCAAAGTTTCTGGAGTCTTTGAATATAGTTTCAAAGAATAGACATTTGATTTTAAATCGAAGCATGTTATTAGGATTTCAAAGATAGTTACTATTTTTACCTACTTTAATTATAAGTACAGAAGCTCTGTATTTCAAAGATAGTACGCTGAAATGCTTTCTAACTCCTTTAGAATGATAATACTAGAACCAACAGCGTAAAATAGACTCACCTCTATCTTTGTTTACCGAACCAATTTGTCTTTCCAGTTCCTTCAGACATAACTCCAATTTTCCAGAAAGTTAGAAAAAACACAATCCTTTCCTTCAATCTCAAAATTTTCATTTCCTCCTTCACCTTGCATCAAGGAAGAGAAACTGACCGAATTAGAAACGGTTTCTTGATGTTGTATTGCACACTTTATCGGATGCATAAACATAATAAAATCATGCATATCCATATCTGATATCTATATAAACTTAACTAATTGCACACTCAATTCTAAAGCATGTGATTACCTTGTCGCCAACTCAAGTACAAAAGGGAAAACATCATTCAATGTTAACACATAATTAGTCTCGCTCAGATGTACAGATAAAGTCGGTTATTGCATTAAAAGTTGAAGTTGCATAAACTTCCAAAATATCTAACAACTAAACAAATGGGGAAATACGCCTAGAAAATTAAAGTCAATGTACCAAAACTCTAACAAGACCCATAAGAATAAAGAAGAAGGGTCAAAACCCCAAACTAATGTACAAATAACTAACTAGATAGTCAAAATACGCAATGATGGATACAGATCAAAGAGAACTCATCGCATCTTGGAAGAACTAGCTCACCCTTGAATTGGATTGGCGATCACTGATCTTCTAAGTGAGGCCTATCAATAACCGCCTAAGAATGACCTATACTCAACCAAGAAAGAGCGAGTGCAGTATTAGTACACGACCACATTGTGCTTATAGGATTACACGATTATCCCACTAAGTGCTATATATATATATATATATATATATATA